AAAATAGAAATTTAATATTATCTTATCTTAATTCTTGTGTATTAGTCCATGAAGTTTTAAAATATGACTGACCAATTTATTTGACTCCAAATTTTGTGGGTCATTCATGATGATCTAGTGAATGATGCACATTACTTTTATAAGATTATGCCATTATTTTTTCAAGTTTTGAGGTAGCGGAATAGAAATTCATGATTATTTATGTTTTTCGTGTGCATTAGTCTATAAAATTTCTAAAATTTGTTTGATCGGCTCCATTTTATTCCAAATTTGGTGGGGCAATTCGTGACAACCTAGTGAGCGATACACGTTACTTTAGTAGGATCAACGTCACTTTTTTTTTGAAATTTTGGGATCTTGAAATATAAATTCAAGATTTTTTAATCTTTTCGTGTGTATTAGTTCATGATTTTCTTGAAATATGATTGATTGATTCCATTTGAATCCAAAATTTGTGGGTCATTGGAAATTATCTATTGAACAATATTCATTGTTTTCCAAGGGCTGGTATTTTTTTATAAGATTTTTGGATCACAAGATAATAATTCAGAATTATCTTAACTTTTCGAGTGTATTAGGTCATTAATTTTCCAAAATATGACTACCTGACTCTATTTGATCCAAATTTTATTGGTCTATTTGCGACAACCTAGTGAATGATACTCGTTACCTTCACATGATCGATATCACTTTTTTAGAATTTTGAGATCACGAAACAAAAAATTTGAATTATCTAAACTTTTCAGGTAATGTCTGGCCGACCCATTTTACCCCAAAATTTGTGGGTTTATTACAATCAATGAAAGATACTCATTGTTTTTAAAGGACTTACATTGCTAATTTTGAATGGTTCGTACCATGAAACATTATCACAATTTTTTTGTGTGTATATTAGTCCACAAATTTTCTAAAATATGATTGATAAACTCTATTTTACCACAAAATTTGTGGGTATATTTGTGACAATTTAGTAAACGGTATATCTTTGCCTTTGTAAGAACAATGTTACTCTTTTGAGTTTCAAGTTCATGAAATTGAATATCATAATTATCTCAACTTTTTATGTATATTAATTCAATTTTAAAATTGTAATATAATATAATATAATTTAATGCAATTAATTTTTCTGAATTCGTCAAATTGACTTTTAAAAGAGAAAGTAATACTTAGTTTGAGAAGAAAGAAAATGTTTGATGGTCCAATGATTGTAAAAATTTATTTACACATAATATTTACGTCAAATTAATAATATATATTTCCACATATTTTCTTCGTTTAGTTTTATTTGTCATAATTTTTTTTTGAGGGTCAAATATGAACTTTTAACCAATATTTCATCGAATTCACCTAATTAAATTAATTCTCAAAAAATCAACTATTTTAAAAACGATATAAAAAACTATTACCATTTAATCATAATTAATTAACAAACATTCTCACTTCATCAAATCAAGACAATAAAATTAATATGATTCAATATAAACACTCGATGAACTCTGCAATATCACACATGTAAAGACAAAAAGCTTCTATAGGAACTCAATATATCAATTAATATAATCCAACAAAGACAAGATTTCAATAGCCATCTTTCATTCTCCATTCTTCTTTCCACCATGGAAGGTGAAAAAGGTCACATAGTTCTCTTCCCTTTCATGGCACAAGGTCATATAATCCCTTTCTTAGCTTTAGCTTCAAAATTTACCCAAAAGGGTTACCAAATCACTTTCATAAACACACCATTAAACATCAAGAAACTCAAATCTTCATCAAAAAACCCTTCAATTCACTTTCTTGAAATACCCTTTAACAGTACTGAACATAATCTTCCACCAGATGCTGAAATCACTGATTCTTTACCTTATAATCTTGCCCTTAAACTTCTTCAAGTATCCCCTTCACTTGAATCTAACTTCAGAAACATTCTTACTAATCTTGTTAACCTAAAGATTGGATTTTTCAAGAAACCCCCAATTTGTGTTGTGTCAGATTTCTTTTTTGGATGGTCAGCTAAGGTAACTCATGAATTTGATATTTTACATTCTATTTTTGTTGGTGCTGGTGGTTTTGGATTAGCTTGTTATTACTCTATGTGGATGAATTTACCCCATAAGCATACTGATAATCTTGAGTTTATACTACCTGATTTTCAAGAAGCTGGAAAATTTCATGTTACACAGTTGTCACCTAGTCTTGCTATAGCTGATGGTAATGATGATTACTCAGTTTTTCAGATGAAAAATCTTCCACTTTGGAAAAACTCAGATGGGGTTTTGTTTAATACAGTTGAGGAGTTTGATAATAGTGGATTGATGTATTTTAGAAGGAAGTTATGTATACCTGTTTGGGCAATAGGACCAATACTTTATCAAGAAAATGATACTAAAACTCCTAGGAAAGAATCAGGTATTCCTTTAGTAAAATGTAAAGAATGGTTAGATAATAAGGATGAAAAATCAGTTCTTTACATATGTTTTGGTTCACAAAACACAATTTCGCCGTCACAAATGATGCAACTAGCAAAAGCATTAGATGGGGTTGAAGTAAACTTCATTTGGGTGATTAGACCACCTTTAGGATTTGATGTAAATGCTGATTTCAAACCAGAAGAATGGTTACCAGAAGGGTTTATTGAAAGAAATCAAGAAAATGAACAAAGAGGACTAGTAGTGGTTAATTGGGCACCACAAGTTGAAATCTTGGCTCATGAATCAATAGGTTCATTTTTGAGTAATTGTGGTTGGAATTCAGTTCTTGAATCATTGATTAATGGGGTTCCATTAATTGGATGGCCAATGGCAGCTGATCAGTTTTTTAATGCTAAGTTTTTGGTTGAAGAAATTGGTGTTTGTGTTGAAATGGCTAGAGGGACTACATTTGATGTAAGTTATGGGGATGTAATTGAAAAGATTGAGTTAGTTATGGATAGTGAAAGTGAAAAGGGGAAAAGATTGAGGGGTAAAGCTTGTGAAGTTAAAGAAATGATTAAAGATGCTACTAGAGATGAAGATGATTACAAAGGATCTTCTATTAGAGCTATGGATGAATTTTTTAATTTGATGATGAAAGAAAGGATTGGCTCACAATAATTGACTTTTTTTTTTTTGGTTAATAATAAATAAAGAGAAATCTAGAAGAAAAGTTCAACCTCTTTCTTTATCTTTCATATATGTATATAGTTATCTTTTTTTTTTGGATTTTTCAATTCTTCTTTACTTTTGAAAAAGAAATGATCAAGGTTGCAGTGGGATGGATGAGATTGTATCATCTTTATTCAGGAGTTTCGAGTTCAACTATTCAAGTCTTGGATATGTGAAAATCTTAGTAGGAAGTGTTTCTCTCTTAAATGAGCTTTGTGTGGCACGGACTCTAATTAATCGTGACTTCATTGTGGATATCGAACACTAGATTAGAGTTTTCCTACTACATGAATATTGATTAGTCAGAACTTCAAAGCGAATATCAAATGCCGGATGAGAAATCGAAAGAAAATTTCCATTATGATAAATGAAAAAGAAAATTTGTGAATAATGAGATGACTTGTAATTGGTTTTAAGAGTGTGTTGGAGTTGAGCTTGTAACGATATACTGAGTTCATTTTTAAGTTATAGGTTTCTATTCTTGGGATAACTTTTAAGTTCCAACTACAATTATTGAAAATTTTCCATGGATTTCTTAATGAATTTTTTAAAGAAATTTTTGAGAAATGATATATAACACAATGTCTACGTATAGTACAACAATTATTACCGAACTTATTTTCTAGTTAATTCCGCACATACAAGCTCGTTTTTATTATTGATTTTAAGCTTAAATAAAGGAGGACCACATGAAAACGCTCTTTAGTGGAGCTTTTCGTACCAAGAAACTATTGACTTGGCTTGGTAGGTGGGAAGTAAGTCCAAAGATCACTGATTAGTCGAATGGGTCCATTTCTTTGATCTATCATTGAGTTGATTTCTTGAATATTTACCCATATTTTAAAATTATCTACTAAAATCACTATTGTTTCTTTTAATGACATGTCAATCAACGTAAAACTAGTAAAATTCAAGATGATAGTGATTTTCCTTGAACTAGAAGAAGAAAATATTAGTGAATACACGTTGAACCAATATTGAATCTCACCAATCAATTACCAAAAAAAAAAAAATACACTCAACAATTTCTCAGCAGAAATAATGAATTTGTATGTAAATAACATAATAATTGTACCTAATTTTGGTGAATCAAATTTATTGTCACTGAGAGTAAAATTTATACATACGCTATATGATAATATGAATTACATATCTCAAACAAAACAATATGCCTCAACCCCCCCCCCCCCCCCCCCCGCCCACAACCCCCCAAAAAAATAGAAAAAATATATTATATATTGCTTATGTGACATTTTTTTGCTTATTTCAAACTTCTTAATTTTGTTCATGTGTATGAACATAAAATCACATTTAAAAACTACGTAAAATAATATACCAATTAATAATTTAAAGGGCATATAAAAGTTATGATATAAAAAAACAACTCGTTTAACTCTCGAAATTCGAACATCGTAACATAAGTTGGTACAAAAGGAGCAAGTAATGTTGCCTTGACATGTGAGAGCTTTCATCAATGTTGTGAAACCATGTGAAAAATAAGATTCAATTATTAAAAAAAGAAGAAGATTGATATGTGCATTAAAACTATTGTTTACAGTCAGACCTATTTTTATCCACTATTATATGTTACACTATAAGTTTTCCAAGTGGGACTATAAAAAATTATATATATAAAAAATGTGGGACTATAAACAAAGCCTAAATATATCTGATTCGTTTCAATTTATATGAACCTATTTAACTGAGTTTAGAGTTAAAGAAACACTTGTTATCGGACACCGGGTAAAACCCAAACCAGGAACAACAAGTCCTAGTACAGAAGTGAAGGAAAATGTGTTACCTGACTTCTCATGTCCTCTTTTTGTAAGGAGTAATCAATCATAAGTAATGAAGATTAGCTCAATATTCATCATAACCATAGTGTTGATCATAGTCATATCCTCCAACATCCTCATCATACTGCACAAATGGTTCTTCATAAATCTCGTCTTCTTCCAGAAAATTTTTGCTGCTCTCGTTATGATTTGTTGAATCATCCACATTTCGACTCTTCTTTGGGTTCTGTAGAATTTCCTGTATAAATAACATGATCAAGAGTTAAACATCTTTTATCGAGATGAGAGCAACAAATGCTTTAGATTTGTGTAATTTGTCCTGTAGAAGTTCAAAATTTCAGGGTGCTCTCAGAATTCTAATCTACTTGAGATCCCTACCGGGAGTTGGAGTGATTTCGAGATTGTGGGTCTTTTTATAATCCTCCAATGTTAATAATAGGGAAACCAAGGAGCTGAACTAAGATCAGGTCTAATCCAGGGTGGAGGCACAATGCAAGTTATAGGTTCGGTAAAATTCAGTAATTTTGGCTCAAACCATGTATATATGTACAGATAGTCTATTCAGAGCCCAATAAACTATACATTCAGTATCTGCTGAATGGAATAGAACAATTTATATGCCGGGATTGGATGAGTGTATTAGAGAGTTGTCAAATGCATCTCCCAGAACTTTAATAGCAGAGATCATAAGATGAGCAGCAGTGGGCAGTGGCAAAGGAAAAGTCTGACAAATCTACAATATTTTGATGCCACATTATTTAGTTTTCATTATTTAATATCCTCCCATTTCCTGAATATCTAAATATTACGCATAATAGCGTCTCAAAGACTAGCTATCTCCGACCACCACCAACACCAAACATTCTGCTTATGTTCTTTTCAATAAAGAAAATGATATTCTGGTAAAGGAGTTGAGATCTGAGTAAAAATTGAAATTAAAAGCTGGTATATTGGAATTCTAAAGAAATTTTGGAGTAGGAGAAGCACGTACAGAATCATCAAAAAGCTTTTCGAGCAGATCATAGTTGATCTTAGTGCATAGCCTCTGCATCACATGATATAAAGCAAGGTAAGATACAAATAACACAACCGATAGATCTGATAGATATTGTTTCATGCAAAAGAGGAAGATATACCATGCAATGCAAACATAATACAAAGAGGAAAAGAAATGATTTAAGACCAACGGGAAGAAACCAAAATTCTTCTATGTATTTTACGTAGTTACATATTCCTACAGGTAAACTGGACTTGCAAGCTCATTTGTAATCCTTATAATCATCCAAATTTAGGCAAAATGTGACAGATAAATTGAAATTGAGGAAAACCTTGACTCAACAATAATAATAAGGACATGCAGGAACATTCATCAAGACTATGAACACTCGTGGAAAAGGTAAGAAACTTCCATAACACAGAGATCCCTATGAACAGAGTGGTAAAGATTGTAAATTTCTTTTCCTCTACATACACATACCTTTCTAGTTAACATTTGCTTCGCTGCTTCGAAAGGGGTTTTAGCAGGACCAGACTTTTTCAGTTCTGCAGCCCTTTTCTGTCGTTTTTCCTGTATATCACAAAGCAAAGTGTAAGCTAATTCCAGGAGATCTCTAGAGCAGCTATTGCGTATGAAAAATTTCACATGCATATGCTATTCTTGTGGTAAGTAACTAAAGGAAGAGAAAACATGTTGTAGTCAGTTGATGTTGTATGTTTATTTCCTTCCAGAAGACCCACATGATTGCTAGTGGAAAACTATACATTGCCTACAGTTGTGATTGTTTAGTTCAAATCGATTTTGAAGGAATTGTTCCGAATTTGAAATTACCAACCTAAGTCTTCAGGCAAAGATATATTACCTTGTGAATGCAAAGTTGGAAGACATAAGCAATATGCATGGATATAAGACATATCGGAAGGAGAATGTTGAAAATGAAGCTAGAATCATCAAGAGTGAACGAAGGTACGAAAAGAAACTCAAAATTAAGGGGGAGTGTCATAAATATACTTGTGAAATATTCTAGAATTACTAAATGCATTTTGGTGTTATCCATGTGACTTTAGGATATTTTATGTGATTAGGTGCATAATCATTATATTATCTAGGTGCATGATCTTTTTTATTAGTTATATGACTTTTATGTTATTATTGTGGCTAAGTTCATAGTGTGTATATGAAAATATTCAGTAGAAGTATCTCTTAGCACCGATAGAAAGAGCCCCTCGTAATGTTGTTATATAAGACATTTATCATAATACTTAGTGAACCTCATGTTTATCAAACCTTTCCATCCTCGTTGTACCTTACCATATTTTATATGAAGAAACTAGCTAATACAACACTAGCAGAATTGAATGTTTTTGTCTCATTTTCGATCATTGTACCCAAGCCTTGAGTCCTTAAAAATATAAGAGAAAACTGCAAGTCATTTTTCAAATGTTTGTTGTGTTTAAATATATTAACAAACATCAACTTCTTAACAGCCATAGACATCAACAAAGTTACCCTTCTCTTAAGGTTTCTTGGTACCTCAATATGACATCAATTTTCACCAGGTAACAAACTCAAGATAAGTTCAGAGTACAACCTTTCTTGATTCTGCAACATTATTAGCAGCAGCAGCAGCAAGCCTTCGTGCATTTTGCACATCCTCTGAACAGTTGGCTAAAATGAACTCGTCAGCCTTCTTTGCAGCTAATGCAGCTGCTTCATTAGCTGCTTTTTCCTATAAATATTGATCAGCAAGCTCACTCAGAAGAATGAAGGGAAAGATATGTGAAGAAGTGAGTGCAGACTACTGTTTTTGTGACGAGAAAAGTTGCCGTGAAGATGGACCAAAGGAAGCAAAAGTGTAGCAAAACACTCATTGCTTAACCACAGTCAACATAGTAGAAGAGACCAAAGAATCACCAAAAAACCATAATTAAGAAAAACAAAAACAAATTGATCTAACACAACAAGACCTCTATTATAACTGCTAAGCGCTAGTAGTAATCTCATGAACCAACAGCATATTCATTCAAGTACTTGTTAATATATTTATAAATCCTAAGGCCACTATAGGACCTTGTGATGTACATTCTAACAACATGGTGATTTGAAAAGAAATTAACTGAGTCACCTCATATTCCGGGTTCATTTTTTCCCAAATGATCTTCTTACAGCGCTTCGCCTCCTCATCGAGAAGATAAATGTCAATCTGACAGAAATGCCGGCACAGAGTATCAGCCACGACAGGTTAGTGAAGCAGGAAATACATGCCCAAATATTGCACAACTAAATCCAATTGCCACAGGTATACATTCTGTTGAAGCAGAATAGTTTTACATATATTTACTAACAAACTGTTTTTCTTTTTCTGACCAAGTAAATGTATTCTCATTCATAAACATGCCAAACTGACTGTATACAACCTGTTATAATACTGTAAAGAATGGATAGTGGGCCTAACTCAAACCTCACAAGCTAGCTTAGGAGGTGAGAATTTCTCAAATCTATATTAAAGAGTTCACTCATCCCTTCACAACCCCTCACACCCAGGGCTGGACATCTGGAGCATGAGCAGTTTAATATGAGGTCCACTATCGACTAGAATTGGGATGGGTCCTGATCTAATACCATGTAAAGAATGGATCTTGGGCCTAACTCAATCCCAAAAGTTAGCTCAAGAGGTGAGGATAGCCCGCCATATTAAAGAGACCACCCATCCCTGACCGGTGTGGGACTTTTCACAAATACAAAGTTCACTTATTACGGATGATGCTTCTTTCCAAGCAAAGGATGAAAATTAGGGTCAGCTAGTATCATAATGTCATTTGCTAAGTATCATGAGGTATGGCAGGATGAAATCCGTCTTAATCACAGTTTTTGCACTAAGCTAACATAGATTTTTAAATAAAACTTTCAAGGATCATGACCAGTAGAGTTACCCCCTACTAAATGAAAACCAACATAGAAGAAGTAGCACACCTCTACGTCATCAATATCAGGGAAGCTCCCTGATTCATCATGATCATCAGGACCCATACAATCCATGTCATGTACTGTATCATGAGTCATGTTATGCTCAGCTTTAGCCACTGAGAATGACCCTGCAACTGAGAGAAAAGCAACTTACTCTATGGTTTTGATCCAGAACTCTCTCCCAACATTCTAATTCCAGAAGAAAACAAACATTTACCTATTTGCTCAGACCCTGATATCTGGACATTTTTACTCCCGGTCACACTCTGGGTGTTCCCTTCCTGTTCAGGCTGATCATCAACCAAAGGAAAACAAAAAGAGAATACATGAGAGGCACTATTCAGAGAGCAAAAAAACGGCTGCATATTTCCAATAAACACCAATTAGATTCAAGATTTTGGCAATAGTCTAAGGAAAGACTTCTCAAAAAGAAATCACAAAAAAGGGCTGGATACTATTCTCTATTCTTAAGTATCATTCAATTGAAACTCATTTTATTCTGAAGTATTGTCAGGATCACTGAAATAAACAATAATTATAGTAAGATAAAACGTCTTTAAATTAAAAGTCGATCATCATCATACATTTAAGTGGCAGGAAAATGAACATTTGCCGTTCCTTGAAGAGGTGGTAAGGATACATTAGGGAAGTATTAGAGCTCGTCTTAAATTTTGTAAGAGAAAGCTTAAGAAACACATAATTTATCTTTCTGCAGGTTAAACTCTGTTTAGCAGGATGCAACCTCATATTTAGGAATTTCATCCAAAGAAAATCTAGAGTCTAAGCAGAAATTGTCTTCTCCCTACACTTTCTCTATTTTCTTATAGATACCAATTCTTTTCTTCAAATGTATCCTTCCATCTTGAGACTTTAACCTGACTTGTGTCCTTTCCAACAGTCAAAAGCATTCTTGAAAGCATAAAATGCTACTTTACAACTACAAGGTAATAATGCTTTTGGATAAGTAGCAGCTCCAATGAGTACCTCAGTGACATTGTTCTCCACCTGATTGGACATGGAAAATTTTGGATCCTCAGCAGCTTTTTTTGCCACTAATCTTCCCCTCTCAGCATCTTGGAAGGCAGGAGGTTCAGATCCTCCATCAAGCCCACCCGAAAGTGTTACAAACTGCAAACACATTCATGAGCATTACATATGATTATACTACCGAAAACTTAAAAAGGCCAGGGTACCAAGTAATTACATCACTGTAACAACTTTCACAAAGACCATGAGCAAAGGGCAGCTCCACACTTTCTTTGTGTTCACATAGCACTTCTGTGATCCCAGATCCTTTTGATCCCGAACAAAATTGTTGGGCCAGCCTCTCTTCTTTCTCAAGCTCCTGGGCTCTTGTATTGAACTCCTCAATCTAGATGCAAGTTAGAAGTAGAAGTATGAAACTCGGAAAGGAAATTTTTGGCTAACAAGCCATCACCAGAGGCAACTTGCATCAAACTCAAATATTAATGTATAAAGTGAAAAGGAGGGAGTTAAGATTTTAGATTCCCAGACAAATTTTTTTTGACTCTCAACAATAATATATATGTCATCAAGCACATCAGGCTCATAAAAATAGCACATCACTAGGCATAGGATGATTTCTCCTGAACACGAGCATAAATTTCCCTGAAGCCCGAGGCGCCCAGCCCATGGACAAGTTCTTTTTAAGATTCCACTAGTTGACCAAGAGGGGAAAAAATGGAGGAGTCAAAGACAGGTGAAATTAAAATCTTTCCAAAGTGCAGGTATTGAGTGGCTTCATGACATACTAGAATCTGGTTATACTGTGACAGCTGTAGACCAGATGAGATCTTTCATTTGCTCTTTTTTGGGGTCTTTTGTTAAGAAAGAGTATGCATCTCCTGTACTAGATGCGTATGCAATCCATAAGTTTTACGATATTGGTTCCAGCATGGGTGCCAAATTATGTAATACGCCTTGTCCATGAACAGGAGTAAGCACCTCACAATACTACATTACTTTTTAAGACTAATTTAATAGCTGGTTTCCCTCCCAACAAAAATGAAAAGACCTGCAGACATGCTTAAATACATGCACGTGAAGCTTTTCAAACAGAGAATATCAAAGTATCAGTAGTGGTCATCCTACCAGCTTTTGGTACATACCGTTAAGCTCCCAGATTCTGTGTTTTCAAATTCAATCAAACGCTTGGTCAATGTTGCTTCACAAATATGTACAACTTTGATCTGTTGACCAAAAGAATAAACAAAATAGGAAAGGAAATATCATGTTCCTTGTGCTATGTGACCATAAAAAATAAATGTGAGAGTCGTACAAGTGTTTGTACTACATAGGCTTGAACATAAAATAAGTGAAGAAAGTATAACAAGAACAGTTGTCAAGTCCAATGTCAAGAAGAAGTCCAAATCTGTGACCAAGAAAGAAGTGGTCCTCGAAAACTAGCTAAAACGCGTAAGAGATTCACAAAGCAGAATAAAACTTTTTTTTATATGAAGTAAGATGTTTCATGAGAAGGCATCAAGCAGATGCAAAGCTTACAAAAGAGAATTAGGTCAAGCCAGATACATAAAAGACTAGGAAACCTTACTTTCACACACATTATCATACTTTCAGATGCACATAAGTTGTAAGCGGAATACTTACATCATGAAGCATGTCTATAAAGAAATCTGAATTCTGACCATCAATATAAAGAAAATCTAGAACGACCACTTACAATTTCTGATTTAGAACGATTCAGTCCATGCGAAAGAGCAGCAATGTATAGTGCAGCTCCACATACCCCACTTGGCTTTCTCCCTGTCTATAGACAATTTATGGATTTGTGCAAAAATGTAGTGATTCTTATTAGTTCCATTGAATTATTCCAGTAACTTCTACATAAATTATATGCAAAGAAAATCATGTATAACCTGCATCCAATCACGCTTCATGCTGGCCACAATGAGAAGTGCAGTTCTAGAAACATTTGGCTCCCTTCCCCCAAATAAACCTACATTATAAATTGATAGTCTTCACTGATGAACTCCAACAAGCTAACAGCAAAATTATATTGACTGAAAGAGAATAAAAATAAATACAGAAAGGAAAGTGAAAAGTAGAATGAAAGGCAACATAGTAAGTAAGGTGTAATTGCAAAGGTACTCCACAGGTACAACAAATAAGTTTTTGGATGGAACAGGAAGGAAAACAAAAAGAATAGAGTTCTTTTGCACATACCAATAAACTAAAGAGCGGTGCATTACTGTGCAGGAAAATTGAGGTAACATGCACTTTACATATGAAAATAATCTATCAGATGAGAAGAACATGAGAGGAATGAAATGAGGTCTGCCTCATCTTTATTTTGATATCCTGTCACATTGATCATTGCCCAACGTTTTTGATAAAAGACCATTGTTTCCTTCCCTAGAGCATTATCACCTACATACTACTTGAAAAATCATATTAGTTCATTCTCTTCAAGTAGCATTAGGAGCCACTGTCTACCTCTGAGATTTTTTTTGACAAATTCTGCTCTTTAAATGCGTTCATTCTTCCATCCTCCAAGTATAATGACACATGAAATCATGGTGTATAACACCTTTGTTTGCCGAGAACTGCAGCTTGTAATGACAATTTTCGTATCGAACAGTTTAAAGCATGCAATTAAATGGCTTTTTGCTATACTTCCTGAACGCGTGATTAGATGGTCATGTTCTGACATCGGATGGTAATATACACATCTTTTTTTATTCTGAACTTCCCCTTTCACAACTGCAGTGTGTTATATACCATCTACGAAAGCTTACACACACCTTGTAATATCTAATAAATTATATCATTCATCAATCACATGCTGCTCAATCCCTAAATGAGTTACATCAGCTAGATGAATCATCTACATTCATTCCATTCTATTTGGGCAACATTCATTTTAATACTAAATAATTGTCTTTTAAGCCAAATTAGAGGTTCTTAGAATCTCCTACATATTCCTACACTGACCAATAGATCTTCTTCTCTATGTGTTGCTTGCACCTTCTGTTGAATGTGATTTCAAAGTTAGTCCAATCTAGTATTGCAACACATTTATTCATAACATTTGTAATCCGACCACATTCATTTTGTGGATATGTATATAATCCTGGTCCCGCTACTAACAGTTAAGAACATTACATATTACTCTTACTAACTCTGACATGAAAAGTCATTAATTCTCTTCACGCCCCATATCAATTATGAAAACCCACACACTTAACAAACCTAATACCAGACACTTTAGTGGTTCTAATATTTAATAGTATGAATTTGGTTTGAGTCTTCCAAGTTCCAACAAGTCACTAAGTCTTCGATTTGGACTAAGGACGCTAAATCTGTCCAAACCACAACACTAACAGCTCTAGTCTACAAAGGAGTTTAGATATAAATGGGTTATACTAAAAAGGACTAAGATTTGCCAGACACTGGCCTAAACAGAGTCCATTTCCCACCAAACATAGTAGAGGACGTCCTCCTGGCTGCTTCTATGATGAGTTGCAGAAAGAACAGCGGGGCTTTCCATATCAAAGAGATGAACCTCAACTGCTATAAAGTGCATTTCTCACCCACGTAACAATGGTGTGTTTTCTATCGCGCACTTCATTAGTGCTAATCTAAAATACTTTTACTCTTAAATTGAGATATTCTGCTACTTAAATTATGCAATTATCATTGGCCCAAAAAAAAAAGGGGGGGAGATGCAACCAAGTACCATTTAATATGCATCCACATTAAAATAACTTGCCAGAACAGGCAGAAAAGCCATGCTTGCAGACTAAAATCTTATGGATCAAGATTTTTGAACTTCTCACAATAGAAATCCAAAATGTGATCAAGAGATAAAGTGGAAAGGAAAAAATATATAAACTTTCACCACGATGTTGGTACCTAGGGCATGGTGGTCAACAAAGAAGCAAGGATTAAAAATAACCAGCAAATCAAATCTAGATAAATACTTACGATCAGTGAATCGATGAATGAAAAGGCTAGGATCCACAGGTTTTTGAATAAATTGGTGATCTACAATGCTTAGAAGTTTGCAAAGCTGCAAGAACACAGCACCTAAAATATACCTGTGTTTCATAAGAGAAAAAGGTTGAACAGGCTTCAATTACCATGATAAAGCTAGTGATTAGGTAAATGGTTTCCTAAACTGCCCAACTTCAGGTATAACCCTTCATGTATGGCAAAAATACAATAAGACCTCCTATATTAGAATATTTTTCTAGATTTTTAAGGAGACAACGTATTGACAAACCACCAGAATAAGAATCTGCCAATAAAGATTTAATAATTTGTGAAGTCAACAGGGTCACCTAGATTTTTCTGATAGGAAAAAGGAACTCATCGATGTAGAGAGAAGAGGTATTGCAGCAAAGGAGAAAATTCTCAAATACAAATGCCCAAATATACTAAAATGATATGCTATTCAATCACACTGAAGATTAGTCAAGAGTATGTCGTGGGAAGGGTAGTAAAGCATAGTACCTAGTAACTTTCTTTTTTTGAAATTGGTAACATGTTATATTCATCAGCACCCTAAAACATATTACCTAGTAACTTTCTCAAAGGTCAGCTCTTCTTCTGTCCTAAATTTCCTTCCCACACAAAAGAAGATATTATAACACCTTTATCTTTCTCAAATCCAACATCAAATACTACTCCACATAAGGCTGCTTTCATTTCTAGTTGAGCGTGAAGCAAGCTTAGTCTAATTTACTCTAACCACACAAGATTCACATGTAAGATCTGTATCACGATATATATATAACTACAAGAAGGATCTAAGGGGTAAATAGAATATCACAACACTAAGCAGGGTGACAAGAACTCCTGACCTTAAGGGCAATCATTTAGCTTTTGCTCAAGATTATTGATCCAAAGTGCTACGTCAAAAGAAGAATGAAAGAGAATGAGTTTTAAGATTTTTTGTAGAAATAGGCTCACTTACACATTTATCCTCAAGTACTCGGAAAAGTCAATGAGTAGGAATGGCTTTTTGCTTTCCCTGCAAGAAAAGTAAACATAAGGATATCCCAATTTGTCACTAATAAAGTCACTTGGACCAAGAAAAATTACACTAAAAGATTGAATGAAAACTATAATTGTCCTAATTACTCTTTTGATACATGTATTAATGACAAACTTTGTTGCTTTGGTATCCCTCTGTGCTGCATAATATAGTTGGTAGTTGCATCCACAATTTTTGTTGATAAGTAATCATAGATTTTATAAATGCTTGCACTAAACTAGTGCGAGAAAATATAACTACAGATTGTGCAGATCCCCCATTGTATTTTAAAATTGCATCAACATCTTGTACAATAACCAGGTTGCACCAAAAAGCTAGCAAAATTTATAATGTATCATGTTAAATATGGCAAAACCTATACTATGTAAAGATGTAAAGATTCTCAAATCCCCTTAATATGGAGATTAAAAGATATTGTGAGAATATAATTGTCTTCTTTATTTCCTTATTTGTATTTCTTGTAAACGTTATTTAGACCCCACAGCTTGATGCAATAATCAAGCATTCCTGAATGCTCTTCTTCTGTTCTCATTTTTAACATGGTGTCAGAGCTAAAGTTTTAGTCCCTTCTCTTCTTTCTCTAAATTTCTGTCTCTTAAGTTCTGTCTCTTAAAAAGAAGTGGTTTTGCTCTCTAACCACTGATGCATGGCTGACATAATATACGTCAACTTGTCAACATCTTAAGCGTCATTACATGTTATCCCACTTCTTTTTTTCTCTTATGGATCGTTTGGTAGGAGGGATAAGGGATAAGGATAACTAATCCCAAGATTAATTTTAAGATGAGTTTATCCCATGTTTGGTTGGATAAAATCGTGGGATAACTCATCCCGGGATTGTAGTGTTATTTTTATCCCACACTGAGGGTGGAATAACAATCCTTGGATAACTAATCCCAGGAAAATTAATCCCGGTATAACTTGTTCCCAACCAAACGAGCCCTTAGAGAGCAGAAATATGCTGAAAAATAAAATCATAAAACACAATCTCTCACCTGCAAACAATGTAAACACAAGCAGCCTCAACTTGCTCTTTCCTACGTCCCCTTGTGAAATTCCTCTCAACTGCTATCTGAAAGTAATATATTCAGCCATAGAATGATATCATGCTAGTAGTACGCATAAGCCATAAAGAATCATACCCTATAGAAGGCCAAAGCTGGATGAGCTATTGAATCACCACCATCAATTCCTAATGCACTCATCACGCTCTCTATACCCTTTTTTGCTGCAGGAAGAGGAGTAAATAAATGTTATCAGAAAGACCCTCATACTTTAAAATTATATTAATATCAAAGAGCAATTTAGTATATTCTGAAACCAAATTGGTGCTACGTAGGCACATAGCTTGTGCACCTTGAGAAACATATGTCGTCAGCAATCAACAAGAACAAAAAATTTAGTTCATTTGCATATTCTGCTTTTTTTTTACTCGATTACTATATTTATGCTAAGAAAATGGAGTTGCAACTTTGCTAAACTCCAAAAGCTAGCTCAGGAGTGAGAATTGCCCAAAACTATATAAGGAGCAATAGTCCATTTTCTCAAATATCTAACAATCTCTCGTGCCCCCATGTCAATTAACTAGAAAGTGGACAGCATAACATGGGGACCATCATTGGGTAGACCAAGAAGAGGAATGATTTTGGCTCTGATACCATGCAAGAAATGGACTTTGGGCCTAACACACCCCAAAAACTAGTTCATGAGTGAAGATTGTTCAAGACCATATAAGACAATAACTCATTCTCTCAACCAATGTTGGAAAATCTAACAATTTACATATTCTATCACTATCATCATTTGGGGCTCATTTTTTAACCATAAACATAAAAAGAAATGAAAATTGAGAAAACAACATTCATATATCCTTCACATAAATTTAAAATAGGAATATTTCCTGGAAACTGGAAGTTATGTTATAGATGAAAGGTTAACCTGATACTTATATAAAAGGTTGATGAGCACTTATTGACTTTGACACAAAATAGAGTGGATATACTTGAATGCCTATATTGACAATGAACAGCACAAGCACCTTTTTTTTTAGGAAACTAAATTCAAAAGCTCCCAGTAGACAAAGATACCGAATAAATCATGGGTACATTTAGGATGTTAGTGATTCGGACCAAATTTGAAACAAAGCAAATGCAACTGTACTCTAGAAAGCCATAACAACTTTTATTGAAAATCGAGAACTCAGTCAACAAATTTTTTTGTTTTCCCTAATAGAAACAAACATCGAGTCATCATTTAGCTGAAAAAAGAATGATAGAACCTTTTCCTATAAAGGAAAAGAATGATGGATTTATATAAATAGGTACAAGGAGCATAACGTCTCTTATTACATTATGGAAGGGGTGCTATGCTACCGATGAGGTTTGAATCCTACATCAGTGATCAAAAAGTCATTGTGAGAAAACAACAATCAAAGGTACATAGATACCTTCACGTAGTGTTCTTTCTCGTGAAGTTGAATAGACACTTTGGACAGAACCCACAATCTTTCCTGCCAATTGGCTCTGCAAATGATTTAAGTTAGTCTTGATACAACACAAATTGAATACCATACTTAACAACTTACAAGTTACAAGACACCACATATATAGCTTGTTCAATAACTGCACCTTAAACTAAGCTTGTCCTGTTAGTTTGATTTTAGTATTATTTATCTCCTCAATTGAGCATATATTTGAAAAAATATAATTATTGACAAAAGCACGTTAATATTAAAATAAAATAAAAAGAAGTACATCAATATTAAAAGCAAAGTCATTCTTCACACTAAAACATGCACAGATGTACAAAAGCATGCAAGATGGCAAAATGGATGATCATCTTTTCATGGCATTGTCTAAATAGCTTCTATTCCCTCTTCCAATTTCTCCCCCACCCACAAATATATGTTTGGGATGACAGTCCATTTGCCTCTCAACTGAAGTGTCACAAAGTGTCTAAGACATAATTTTTCTTTTCTTTTTGATATGTAAACCCCGCCACCAAACATCTGACTCAGGAGCCACGTGGTGGTTTTTTCCAATTTGTCTCTTGGTAACTCAAACCCCACCTCATGGTTGGAGGTGATTGGCCTTTTAGGCTTTTACTAGGCTATTACTCCCTGATCACATCACAGTAATATTATTAAAGAACTCTGCATCAAGTATAAAACTTATTTCCACCATGTGTATTTTCTTGCTTTGCACCTTAAAAACTCCTTTAATAAAAATGACATTAAGACTGATTAAACACACCGTCCAAACTGGAAAGGATCTCAATCCATTCAAAACTAGATATGATTGAATTTGAAGACAAAACAAACTATCCAAAATATCGATCTCATATGTATTAAGAAGAATATGAAATAACGAACGAACCTGTCCAGCAGCATCCTTGACAAAAGTAGGGTCGCTTAAAATATTGTCTTCATCAAGAACTCTTCCACATAAGGGACAACATCTATAATGTAATGAAATGAAGCATCTTAGAGTAATACACACACACACACACACACACACACATATATATATATACAAATGAAGCCTCTTATACGAATGAAGAAAATATATAAACTAAAATGAACCAGAGGAGTATTATAATACAGAAGAAAGAACAAGATTGGGAGATGAAGCTCTCACATTTTGCCATCCGCATAATCGGGTTGACTGATGTTTTTTGCACAATAACCGCAATATACCATGCTTGAAGTAACCTGAATCAACTAAAGAGAATATCCCATCTTGTAAAAAATTGTTGAAAGTTGCATAGAATTCTAACTTTAACAGTCTGCAATATACATTTTTGCAAATAATTCTACGTACACAACAATAACAACGTACTCCCACAAGTGGGGGCTAGGAATTCCACATATGATGATTTAGAAAAAAAGAAGACGCTGTAAATTTATTCAATATTCTTCTATATGTTGGGATTTGACAGTCCTAAGTTTGGCTCACTTGAATCAGAGTCAAAAGTGAGTGAAGTGCTTGACAAACTTTGGTATCATTAGTGAATATACTAAACATGGTTATTTTGTCAACAATCCATCGACTTAAAAGAACGAAATCAACGACAGCACTTCATCCACTACATAATCCATAATGATCCAATAAGAAGTGGTTAAAATGAGAATACATGTAAACATAGCTACTAGAAGCACAAGGGGTTTTCCTTTTCATATATATAATCCATAATGATCCAAGTAGTTCATATATATAAACTACTTCTTTTTATTCGTTTTCATATATTTTCTGATCTATTTGAAGAAGCCACTTTATTTCCCTATACAGCTTGTTTGGATGGGTTTTACCTATTGTATTGCACTGTATTGTTACTTTCCAATGTTTTGATTGTCACTCAAAATTTTACTTTATCGTATTGTCACATCCGTCATTATGTAACAATGAAAAGTACAATTTTATGTAATGATTGAATTGGTGTAAGTTTTTTTCTCATCTTGATCACATCCGTCATTATGTAACAATGAAAAGTACAATTTTATGAAATGATCGAATTGGTGTAAGTTTTTTTCTCATCTTGATCTTACTTATTATTTAATAATCTTATTATGCACTCGGACACTCCAAAAATATTAATGCACTCGTGTCGAATCCTCAGTATCCAACACGGTGCACACAACGTAAAACCCATGTTCCTATGCAATAGCTCGCAAACCACACAAGAGAGGTAACCCCCGCATTAGGCAAACCCAGTGTGACAGGCTTGACTCAAAAGGCAAATCACTTGCTTTCGCTGGCAAGGGGTTTCGAACTTGAGATCTCCAACATGAAAGTCCCAAGCCCAAACCACTAGGCCATCCCGAAGGATCACTTTCTACTTTTTCTTTAATCAATTTAAAAATAGAATTAAGTCATCAATTATGAGGAGGTATACACATGAGAAACTAAAACCAAAGTAAGTAGGGTCACACATATACACTGCTTATTGGGATACACAACAGCAGTACAAAACAAATATAAAAGGCCAATTCTGACACACAATCAACAGCAACAACATATCCAGTGTAATTCTGCAATTGGAATCTGAGTCTGAGCTCAACTAAAAAAAAAGAACAATTCAAAGCAGCATTGCAAAGAAACAAGACAGGCAAAATAACACAATACAAAGCAGATAGTAATAAACACCAAAGACAAAAAAAAAACAACTTAAAAATCACTTTTTTTATCAGCAATCAAAGATCAAAAATCATATTTTGAACAAATTGCTACACAAATACAACAGTCAAACATATGAAAAATTGAAAGAACGAAACAAAAAAGGAGAGGAAGAGTACCGACCAGTTAGTTTGGCCGGCGCCGGCGACGGAAAAAGATCGAGATGTTAAACCCTAATTTTTTTCAAAAATTATGTCTTTGTAATGAGATTCGAAACCTCGTCAATTAGTAGTAACTCCAAACTCTTTCAACAATGAAAACCACTTACCCCAACACTTATCTTTGTTGTAGCGGTTGCAACCAATTTTATAATTTTAGGAGCAGTTTGGTTACGGTATAAGAGGGCATATTATTTATGTATAATACATTGTATTAGTTTTACTATGTTTAGTAAAAGTTTTTTATTAGGTTGAAAAGTCAACATGATTTATACTATATTTGGTTGATATGTTCTAAATATTGTATAAAAGTTATTCATGTATTAATTTTATAGGGTGTTTGATTGCGTTTTTTATAATCCTACATAATTAATACTTACCTAACTTATGAGGGAATCTATGTATAAGTTATGCAGAATAGAATGTGGAATAAGTTATGTGAGTATTAGTTATACATGTATTAAAAAGATAAATTACATCTTTGTCCCTATTAATTTATTTTTAAATCTTTTTTTATTGAAAACTTTACATAACTATTCTATTTTCCCAACTATTTTTGTTTCTTATTTCTTATTTCTTTTCGTATACAAATGACTTTTTATTTGTTTTCATTTAAAATCAAAATATAAATATTTATTAATATTATGAATAGGAATGTATAATTTTGATAGCACATATGCTAATTATATATTCGCACTATATATTACTAAATATATCCACATATTTAATTACATGTATTAATTTTTAATTTAGAATGTGAATTTATATATAATCTATATATTTGGTATACTAAAAATGTACAAACAACACATGCATCATATTGATAGAAATTTACATTATATAAAATAGGATAGTATAATGTAATTGAAATATATTAGTGATATTTTATTTTTATAAGCTTTAAACATTAAAAAAACAAAGAGAGAGAGAAACACGGAATTCCTAGTTAAGTATAGAGAAAATTCCTTTATTTTTTTCAAGGGAGAATTTATATTATTTGCTTACTTATTTTATTTGTAAATAATACATATTAATTTATATTAAAATCAATGTTCAATAGTTAATAATTCATGTAATGTAATCTTTATGTAAATAAATAACATATACATAACTAATACTCGCATAACTAATACTCACATAATTAATACCCACATAACTAAACCATGCATAACTAATACATGCATAACTAAACTCTGCATAACTAATACCTACATAACTAAATCCTGCATAACTAATACCTGCATAACTCTAACTAGTAACCAAACGGCCCCTTAAGACTCTGTTGATCGAGGAATAAATTATTTTGAGACTAGTAAAATTACCCGCGCTTCGCGCAGGAATTTAATATCGTGAAAATTATAAAATAATACTTAAAACCTATTGGTCATTAAAACTAAAATATTATATTATCTTACATAAAAGATTACGTAGTAATAAACATTAATAATATAAAGAAAAATGAAAATTATTACATCTTATCATTTATCCTTAATAACAGAAGCATAAATTAATGACTATAAAAATACATACCAGGATCTGTAATATAAGCAATGGTGTCAGTGAGCCACTCAATAGGAGGAAAGTACACAAATATTTAAGGGAAAAGGGTTAAAAGTGCCCTTAACGTATCTCAAATGGTTCAAATATTCCCTCCTTCCATCTTTTGGTTTAAAAATTCCCTCAACATTTTTTTAAGGTTTAAAATTTCCCTTTTTTAACAGTCCGCTGACATGGCAAATGTGACATGAATTTTCTTTACCCATTTCAAAATAAACGACCCATTTAGTCTAGAAACCCATTTAAAAACCTGACCCGATAGGCCAATCGTATTTGGGTCTTTTGTTCCCATTAGTTCTAGTTCTCTTCTTTCTTCCTACCTCCTTCAAATCTTCTTTTTTCTCCATTTCTCTAGTTAATTCAGAAAGAAAAAGATGGAAGAACTACAATATTAATTTCTTCTCTACAACAAGATTTGTCGAGTTGATTTTTTGCATATGACTGGACAATCAATGGCTGAACTACAAACTTGATTACGACTTGGATTTCGATAAATAACAGACGGATATTCGACAGGTTTTCTAGTTCTATTGTAAGCAAGTTTTTGAATTCAATTTGTTTGTCATATATTGAAGAAGTTATCTTGAAACTTTAGTCGTTTAGAATTCAAATTCCTCGCTAGAAACTCAATACAAAAATGAAAACAGAGCAGTGAATGATAATGCTCAACATTTCTTCGATTTAGAATCCAAGGTAGTCTGCAGAAGTTTCAATAATTAGTTGTTTCGAGTATAATATAATTATGGGTGATTTGCCAAGTAATTACTTTGTGTTGCACAACTCTCCGCGATTCAATTTTAATAAGTATGATTTTGGTTAGGGAAAGCAATTGCACAAAGAGGTGGAGTGTCAAACATGTTGGAGTGGAAAATTGATATGTCACCTGGGGCAGAAGAAGGGAGTATGATTTTTGAGATTTGCTTTTATCCAAACACAATACAAGCATTGGAGGAAGATGTTTCTAGGTGGGTTAATATGTAAACGGGTTTCTGGGTAGGTTTGAATTTTCGTAGCATAAATGGGTCGGGTGGTTAGACTGGACTTAAAAAAATTATGTGGACCAATAAGATGAAGCCATTTATCTAATTAAATGACTCATCATTTGCCATGTCAGTGGACGGTTAAAAAGGACAATTTTAAACCTTCAAAAAACATTGAGGGCATTTTTAAACCAAAAGGTAGAAAGAGGGCATATTTGAACCATTTGAGATGCGTTAAAGGCATTTTTAACCCTTTTCCCAATATTTAATTGTGAAGATGAAGAAGAGGTTCATAATTTTTGTTGTTTTAAAATAAGAGAAAATCCCTCTATTTATAGACAACAAAAGGTAGTGTGAACAAATGTTTATTGTGCCTTATCGGAATGGTTACAACTATTTGGAAAAGTTGTAATCCTTCGGAAAGATCACAACCTTTCATAAAAGTCACAACTTTTCATAAAAGTAACAACTCTTCATTAAAGTCGCAACTTTTCATAAAAGTCACAACTTTTTGTAAAAGTTGCAACTCTTTATTGAAGTCACAACTTTTCATAAATTTCACAACTTTTCATGAAAGGGGAATGCTAGTTTTATAAATAAATAAATTAAAAGAGAATTCTGGTTTGTAGTGGCGCAACGTGGGCGAGCCTAAGATTCTCTTTTATATATATATATACTAGTAAAATTACCCGCGCTTTGCGCGGGAGTTTAATATCACGAAATTTATAAAATAATATTTAAACTATCAGTCATTAAAACTAAAACATTATATTATCTTACATACAAGATTACGTAGTAACAAATATTAATAATGTAAAGGAAAATGAAAAATGTTACATCTTATCATTTATCCTTATAATATAAGCATAAATTAATAGTTGTAAAAATATATATCAGGATCTGTAACATAAACAATGGTGTCAGTGAGCTACTCAACAGGAGCAAAGTACACAAATATTTAATTGTGAAGAAGAAGAGGAGGTTCAGAATTTTCGTTGTGTTAAAATGAGAGGAAATTCCTTTATTTATAGACAACAAAGAATAGTGTGAACAAATATTTATTGTGCTGTATCGGAAAGGTTACAACTATTTGGAAAAGTTGCAACCATTCGGAAAGGTCACAACCTTTCATAAAAGTCACAACTTTTCATAAAAGTCGCAACTTTTCATAAAAGTCGCAACTCTTCATAAAAGTCGCAACTTTTCATAAAAGTCGCAACTCTTCATAAAAGTCGCAACTTTTCATGAAAGGGGAATGTTAGTTTTGGAAATAAATAAATTAAAAGGGAATTCTGGTTTGTGGTGGCGCCACGTAGGCGGGCCTAAGGTTCTCTTTTATATATATACTAGTAAAATTACCCGCGCTTCGAGCGGAAATTTAATATCACTAAATTTATAAAATAATACTTAAAACCTATTAGTCATTAAAACTAAAACATTATATTATCTGACATACAAGATTACGTAGTAACAAACATTAATAATGTAAAGGAAAATGAAAATTATTACATCTTATCGTTTATCCTTAATAACATAAGCATAATTTAATGACTGTAAAAATACATATTAAGATCTGTAACATAAACAGTGGTATCAATGAACCACTCAACATGAGCAAAGTACACAAATATTTAATTGTAAAGAAGAAGAAGGAGGAGGAGGAGGAGGAGGAGGAGGAGGAGGAGGAGGAGGAGGAGAGGTTCAGAATTTTCGTTGTTTTAAAATGAGAGGAAATCCCTCTATATATAAACAACAAATGGTAGTGTGAACAAATGTTTATTGTGCCTTATCGGAAAGGTTACAACTATTTGGAAAGTTGCAACCCTTCGAAAATGTTACAACCTTTCATTAAAATCACAACTTTTCATAAAAGTTGCAACTCTTCATAAAAGTTGCAACTCTTCATTAAAGTCGCAACTTTTTATAAAAGTCAGAACTTTTCATGAAAGGGGAAGGCTAATTTTGGAAATAAATAAATTAAAAGGAAATTCTAGTTTGTGGTGGCGCCACGTAGGTGGGCCTAAGGTTCTCTTTTATATATATATGATTAATTATCATGAAATTATTTATACTATAATTCTGAAATAAGTTATCTCGCGATTTTATTAAACATAGGATAAACTCATCATAAAATCAATCTCAAGATTAGTTATCACTTACTTATCTCTTATACCAAACGAGCTCTTAAAGAATTTTCTAATACAAAAAGTATGAAATTTTTCGGACTGGTACTTTTAAAAGATATAAAGAAATTTAATTTTAATAAATTAAAATATTCTTTTCATAACATAAACTTCATATTAAAATGTATGCTTAGATCAAATTTCAACAACTCAGTGTATTTTAGATTTTCTAAAAAACAATTGGATTTTTTTAGGCCGCTTAGACTTCAATAATTCTCAATTTTACAAGTTTCATTATTTAACTTTTGTACTTATTTAAAAAGTTTAACTCTCGACATTTCTAGATGAATCGCAATAATGAA